TCTCATTTAGTTGTCAGGACAATCCTGCTATTATTCACATTATTAGAGGAGGAAACCAAAATGCACAGTCCCTACCATGTATAATTTTAAGGACCGGAATGAATGATGCAGTTCTCACAACAATCTTGTGAAGTCAGTAGCCTTGTGGTGCTCATTTTACAAATGAGGAAAGCTGAGGACAATGAGGTGGGGTGACTTGCCCAGGTCTCACAGAGGCTAAGCAAAGGATCTGAACACAGTGCTAGGGTTCTTACCCATTCTACTTTATTGTCCTGATATATAATAAAATCTAATTATAACAAAAACCCAGTTCCCGGGGGCCAGCTCCCCCCAGCCACCACCAGAGTTCTAACCCTCCTCCTCCCCAGGGGCTGCCTGAGCCACTGAGGGCCACTAGCTGGGCCACTGCTTTATGCAGATGAGCTCCCTGGGTTTTGTAAACAGGAGAGACCCGAGAGGGGTAAGCTGCTCCTTCTTACTTTCTTGCTTAGGACTCTCCATGGCCTGAAGGTGCACTGGCTCCCCCCAGCACCCCACCGGCTCTCGGGGAGCTTGTTCCCTAAAAGAGGGCTCTGTAAGGCTTGGGGGCCCAGTGCAGGATACCACACACACCTGGGCCTCCTGCCACTCATATACCTTCATGCCTCTGGGCCTCAGTTTCCTCACCTGTCAGTTGGGCTAATTTGGAATAGTCCCTACACGGGGCAGCGGCGGGGCGGGGTGGGGCGGTTTCATGGGGAAGATCCCATGAGAAGACCTTTTAGAGCCTATGATATGGTAACTTATTGACACAGGGAGCTTACTGATAATATTAAGATTATTAACACGTAATGATATCTATTAAGTTATACAAAACAATATCTTGCACTTCAATAAAATTCTACATAATATGTTGAATGTATAGGGGCGCCTGACTTGCACAGTCACTTAAGCCTCCAGCTCTTGATTTCTGCTCAGGTCATAAGATCAAGCCCCGTGTCCAGCTCCGCACTCAGCATGGAGTCTGCTAAAGTTTCTCTCTCTCCCTCTGCCCCTCCCTGTGCTCACTCTCTCTCTAACACAAATAAGTAGGGGCCCCTGGATGGCTCAGTCACCTGCATCTGTCTTCAGCTCAGGTCAGGATCCCAGGGTCCTGGGATGGAGCCCTGCATCAGACTCCCTGCTCAGCCAGCAGCCTTCTTTTTTTTTTTTTTTTTTAAAGATTTTTTTTATTTATTTGACAGAGAGATATCACAAGTAGGGGGAGGCAGGCAGAGAGAGAGAGAGAGGGAAGCAGGCACCCTGCTGAGCAGAGAGCCAGATGCGGGACTCGATCCCAGGACCCTGAGATCATGACCTGAGCCGAAGGCAGCGGCTTAACCCACCTAGCCACCCAGGTGCCCCAGCCAGCAGCCTTCTTCTCCCTCTGCGGCTCCCCTTGTTTGTGTGCTCCTGCTCTCTCTCTGTCAAATAAATAAATAAAATCTTTAAAAAAAATAAGAAGATAAAATAAATAAGTAAATATTTCTTTTAAATGTCAAATGTATAATAGGTTGGTATGTGTCATATATTTAAATATTGATATACTGATGCAACTATCATATATAACACATAAGTTTGTACCATATTTTTGAATTACATAATGCATAATTGGGGCACCTGGGTGGCTCAGTGGGTTAAAGCCTCTGCCTTCCGCTCAGGTCATGATCCCAGGGTCCTGGGATTGGGCCCCACATTCGGCTCTCTGCTCAGCAGGGAGCCTGCTTCTTCCACTCTCTCTGCCTGCTTCCCTGCCTACTTGTGATCTCTGTCTGTCAAATAAATAAATAAAATCTTAAAAAAAAAAAGAACACACACACAAAAATATATATAATACATAATTATATAATTATATATTTAGGCTAATATAATCACACAATGTAATGTAACTATGTTTATATATGCTTGCATATTAAATATTAAAATTTTCCTCAGAATTTAGTGTATAACAAAATTATTCTGGGGCGCCTGGGTGGCTCAGTGGGTTAAAGCCTCTGCCTTCAGCTCAGGTCATGATCCCAGGGTCCTGGGATCGAGCCCCACATCGGGCTCTCTGGGCAGCGGGGAGCCTGCTTCCCCTTCTCTCTCTCTCTGCCTGCCTCTCTGCCTACTTGTGATCTCTGTCTGTCAAATAAATAAATAAATAAATTATTCTGTGTCATTGTACATTATATCATAAGATATTAATAGCGTTGGTTTTTTTTTTTTTTTTTTTGGTCAGTCATCATGATGTGTCTTAAGTCCTACCCATGTTGCTCTGTGGACACCTGTTCTGGGTTTGTGGGGGCTTTGCAGGACTTCCTGGTGACTCTCCTCTTGGGGTGGCACCCAGGCTGCCCCTAGCTCATAGAAGGATCTGTTTGTGTCCCTTTACGAGACTGGGAGCAAATGTCCTGGTACGCACACCCAGGAGCTAACTGAATTCGACTAAGTTGTGCCAAGTGGTCCTTGGGAATCAGAGTTCCCAGGGCCCCACATCCCCAATCTCCACTTGACATTTTCCAGCTTCCAACCTTTGCCAGACCAATGGGATGACTCACTGTTGTTTTAATTTGCACTTCCTTGATCAGTTACCAAGAATTTCTAGCATCCTCTCAGGTGCCTGTCAGAGTCCTGGGGTTTCCTGGTCATTTGCTCACCCTCTTGGCCCATTTTTCTTTTCTTTTCTTTTTTTTTTTTTTTAAAGATTTTATTTATTTATTGGACAGACAGAGATCACAAGTAGGCAGAGAGAGAGAGAGAGAGGGGGAAGCAGGCTCCCTGCCAAGCATAGAGCCTGATCTGGAACCCTGGGATCATGATCTGAGCTGAAGGCAGAGGCTTTAACCCACTGAGCCACCCAGGTGCCCCATTGGCCCATTTTTCTATCAGAGTGGCTGTCTCTTTTTCTTGTTGATTTGCAGCTGTGCCTGTCACCTTCTAAAGATTCATTTCTCGTTGATTTTAAACTTTGTAAAATACCTGTTCCCACTCTGTCATCTCATCTGATACTTGTCCCATGGTGTCCTCATTAAAAGAAATCTTTATTCTGATATTATCAAGTGCTAATGCCTTATGAAGTTTTGTGGTTTGCTTCAGAAGCCTTTTCCTTTGTGGTTGGCGGTGTTCTTGGGGGTGTCAACCATCCCTCCAGGCCTTGAGAGGGGTGCTTGTACCAACCTCCCTTCCTGACGATTCTCTGGGTCCCTGGGGTTAGGGGGCGGGGTGTGGACACACCACAAGCTCTGCTCAGCCCGCATGTTACATCACCTGGTGCGATGCAGGGGCTGGGGAGATGGACTGAGAGATGGATAGACAGCACGTTATGGCCTGCCCCACTAGAGACTTGGTGAGTGGGGGGAGGGGGAGGGGACGGGGAGAGGCAGGGAGAGGAAGAGAGATTGGACCTGAGACTATACAGTATGTCATGTCACGGAAAAGTTAAATGACATGAGCTCTGGGCTTGTCTAAATGTTCCGGCATGGAAAAAATAATCCATGGTGACTTCTTTTAGTGAAAAGAAGAAAGGAGTAAAAATATCCGTCTAGGAGAGCTCTGGTTGAACTAACTAGCACCCGAGGTTTGGCAGAAGCATATTAATTACTATGACCCATTTATTCCACTCCTGGGTATCTACCTACAGCACTGCGCACTTGAACATTCAGCAAAGACCAGGTGCTAGAAGGTTCACGGCAGCCTTGTTCACAACAGCCCCACGCTGGAAGCAACGCAGGTGTCCATGACAGGAAAATTGCTCAATAAAGTGTGGAAAAGTCACACAACGCAGGAACCAAAAGGAATAACTATAACCAAGTATAACATGCAAGAATCACAAAAACATGATTATCAAGGGGAAGAAGTCAGACACAATAAACTATTCCATTTAGAAACAACTCAAACCCCCGGCAAAACTACCCTGCTAGAAATCAGGCTAGTGGCAGCTTTCCAGAGGCAGGGCTGGGACAGGGCTTGTGCAGGGGACTCTGGGCAGGATGGAAAGTTTCTGTTTCTTGATTTTGTCACTGTCACGGAGATGTGCTCAGTTTATCACAACTCATGCACCTAAACCCTTAGGATTTGTGCTTTTCCTGTACACCAGTTTACAAATGACAAGCATGACACATTTAAGCAAAAGAAAAAAAACGCACATACTCAAAAGAAAAGTCTACGTTTCTATGAGCACGTATTTGTGTACCTAAACAAATGTACAGCCAACGGAACAGATGAAACCCAGCAATATGTGATACTGGTCTCCCCTGCCTAAGGGGGAAGGGGCCCCCAGAGGGCTTACCTCCAGCTATAATGTTTTTCATAATAAGATAACAGTCTTTAAGATTGTGTGATGATGAAATGGGCTGATATTTTAAAAGCCCTTAGAACATTGTGTGGCATACAGCAGGCACTACTTAAGGGCTTATTACAGCAAAAGTAATAAAGTGAAAATGTTTTCTGGGATACAAATGGTACTCTTAAAAAGAAACCAAGATTAAAAGAAACATAAGAAGAAATATACAAGGTATTACGTCTCGTGACTTTCCATTCAAACCTTTGTGTCTTACATACACCGATATATCCTTACAGAAATGCAGAATTTCTGAGCACATATTTTTACATAAATGTGTCATAATAGCCATACTTAAAAAATAAAAAAAAATAAAAACTGCTCTCCTTGAAGTACAGCAGTGACAGAACAGAGAATCACGGGTCTAGAGACCGAAAGATGGGGGAGATAGAGAGAGAGCCCGCTGGGTGACTGGGGGTGGGGGCGGCAGCACCGGAAACCTCAGCCTGAAGGGATCCCCATGTGGGGGAGGGGGGACCTTTGGTCTCTCCCCAGCCTCTTCCTTCCCCCTGGCCTGGGGCTGGGTGGGGAGGGGCAGTTCCTCTTTTCTTCCCAAGCACTGATGAGGCCCCAGCTCCCAAGGGGCTAAGAAGCTGGAGCACTGGGGAGGGGGAAGAACTGAGCCAGACTCTTGCAAGACCCCCTCCCCCCACCAGGAAACATGAACAGGAAAGACAGCAAGAGGTGAGAGGACCCTTCCCAAGGAGACCGGGAGCACTCTAAGACCTTGGGCCTCTGGCTGCACAGGAAGGCTGGGGAGTACTAAGGCAGCCGGCAGGGGCTCGGGCTCTAGGGACAGGAGCTGGAGCAGGGGCAGGGGACACAGGTGAACAGTACTTCAGGGAGTCCAGGGCTGCTAGGGCTGGGGCTGTGTGTCTGAGCATCTGAGGCTGGTCCTTGCTGTCTCTGGAGTTTCAGCTGCTCTGTATCCCCTTCTGCCCCGCCCCCACTCCTCCTTGCTCCCTGGATTAGGTGTCTCTGTCCTCCTGGGGCTCTTCCTGGCGTCCCTTGCTGCCCCCTGCTCCTAAACTGGAAACTCCAGGCTCCTGCCGGACCCTGCCCCAGGGGAGGGGAGTATGACACAGGGCAAGGCGGCTCTCCTGCTTCTTAAACCCCTCCTGGCTGCTCTAGGCACTATGGAGAGCAGACTGTCCACCGGTAAGGGCCTCGCAGCTTCTGGAATGGGCTTCCCATGACCTGGACAAACTTGCTTTCCTGTCCTCCCAGGGGCGATGGTGGCTGGGTCCCTAGCCTGAGTAACTCCTCCAGCCTCCTCTGGCATGTCTCTGATGGGCAGAGGGGTCCCCTCCCCATAACATCCAGCAGTTTAGTGGCGGAGACCTGGCTGCCTCATTTTCTGGCTGTGTGACCTTAGGTAAGTCACTTAATTGTTCCATGCCCCAGTTTCTTCCTCTGTTAATAGAATAACACCCCCCCACCCCACCCCCCAGGAGGGCCTGGGAAGTCCTCAGTGAGACAGTCTGGAACAGTGGTTCCCAAGCTTGAGCATGCATCAGAACGACCTGGAAGGCTTGTAAAACCCAGACTGTCAGCGGCACCTAGCTAGCTCAGTCTGTGAAGCAGATGGCTCTTGATCTCAGGGTGGTGAGTTCAAGCCCCACGATGGGGACAGAGATTACTTAAAAATAAAAAGTCTTTAAAACACACACGTATACTGGGCCCACCTCTAAAGTTTCCGAATCTGTAGTTCTCTGGTGGGAACTGAGAATTTGTATTTCTTTTCTTTTCTTTTTTAAGATTTTGTTTATTTATTTGACAGAGAGAGAGAGAGATCACAAGTAGGCAGAGCAGCAGGCAGGGAGAGAGGGGGAAGCAGGCTTCCTGCTGAGCAGAGAGCCCGATGCGGGCCTCGATCTCAGGACCCTGAGATCATGACCTGAGCTGAAGGCAGAGACTTAACCCGCTGAGCCACCCAGGTGCCCTGAGAACTTATATTTCTATCGGGTTTCCAGGTGTTGTTGGTGGTACCAGTTGGACTATGCTTTGAGAACCACTGATCTAGACAAAGGCACAAGCCTCCGCCCAGCACATACTCAATGCTCAGTAAATGCCAGCTCAAGAACACTCAGGACTGATTCTCTGAACCCTTAGGATGCGCCAGGGATATGGCAGTGCCCTTGTGATGAGGGTCGCCTCACTTCTGCTTTCACTCTGTACCCCAGGCCTGGCTTCTCGTTTGCCCCATCACATTCTCTGTATCTCAAGTTCGACTTCCCCATCTCTGGCCACTTAACAGCTTCAGCAAACTAAGTCCCTTATTTTTTTTTTAAGATATTATTATTTGTTTGTTTGTCTGTTTGAGACAGAGAGAGAGAGCACCTGCACGAGTGGAGGAAGGGGCAGAGGGAGAAGGAAAAGTGGACTCCCCACTGAGCAGGCTTCAGGTGTGGCTCCATGCGGGCCTTGATCCCAGGACCCTGAGATCATGACCTGAGCCCAGAGCAGACACAACCGACTGAGCCACCCAGGTGCCCCAAACTAAATCCCTTATTTAGCACTTTTGAAAAGCAAAGCATTGGATGTTCATAATAAATTCCTGGGGAAAGTCTAAGGATGACAGAAACTGAAGCTCAGAGACATTAAGTGACTAGCACAAAGTCACACAGCCAACATAAATTCCTCTATTCCCACTCTGTCTAACCCTTGTGGAAGCCAAGCTCATTCAGCCTGGATTCTGCTCCCTCCTTCCTCTACCATCCCTGTCTCTCCATTACCCTCTTTCCCCAACTGGAACACAAGCCTCAGGGAGGCACAGGGCAGAGCAAGGGTTATTTTTAAACTTTCCTTGAAGCTGCCTCACCCCAGGGACCCTGCCCAGCTCTGAAGAGCCCTGGTGAGGCCACTTTGCATCCATATCTTCTCTCCAAACCTAGGGACCCAGGCTGGCGGCTAAGACTCAGGTCCTGCCAAAGTACTGGCTTAGGGGAGGGGTCTATCACCTTAGGAGGCAGTCCAGCTTGGGGAGGAGGGACGGATGGACTCTCAGGGGTCTGCTGCTTTCATGAAGCCTGGGGGAAGGAGGGACCACCACTGGAGAGCGAAGGGGAATTCTGAGGATCTCCCTGAAGGCAGAACCTGGCAAGGACAGGAAGGAATGATTGGGGGAGTGGGGGTAGGAGGGGTGGGATGCTGGTGTCCAATGATTCCCTGGGAGGTCAAGAGTCATTCCAGGATTCTGCCAACAGGAAATGTCTCCATAAGGCCTTGGAATTATATAGTCAAGGGGAATTTGGGGTCAATGCCTGGAGGAAGGAGTTCTTACAATTCTCTGGAAGGTCCTTACTAATCCTGGGGGTCTACTTTTCCATGATTTCCTTGGGGTTCAGGGTGGTCTTGAGAGTCTTTTCCCCTGATTCCTTGAAGGGGGCAGGAGTAATCCTTTGAGTTTGCTGGTAGGAGAAGGCTCCCGTGATCTGGAACACTCCAGGGGTTTTCTCCCATGATGTCTTGGGGTTTTGGGGTAAGAAGAATTCTGGGGGTCTGCCCAAAGGACATGATTCCCCGGGGGCTGTGCCCACAGGAAGTCCCACCAGGAATGCCCAGGAAAGACAGGGGGGCGGGGCCGGCCCCGACAGGCCCGGCGCCACAAGACGTGCCCCAGCCCACGGGAAATCAGCAAGGTCATGGCTTCCATGGCTCTGGGCATGCTGAATGAGGGCGGCTGCAGCGAAGACGAGATGCTGGAGAAATGCATTCAGTCCTTCGGTGAGTATCCCCTTCCCTGGCCAGCCGCCCCAGTCCTAAGGTGGCAAAGCAGCCACCTCTTTCTAGGCCTCAGTTTTGGGTGCAGGGGTAGGTATAAAGTGGTAGCAAGGGTGTGTGGAATGAATCTCAACCACAACATTCAGGACAAGAGAAACACACACGTTTCTTTTTCCTGAGATGCGGAGGGGGAGGAGGTCTGATGCTATTTCCATCTACACCGTGACTTGCCAGGTGCTATGCTGGTCTCTGCCCAGTGCAGACAAGCACACCCTCAGGAGGCCAAGCTGCCTGCCCTAATTCACGCAGGGAGAAAGAGGGAGAGCTGGAGCTCAAACAAGACAATTCCAGGGCCTCTGGAGACCGTGCAGTCTCTTGGCCAGGACCCATTCCGACACAGAGTCCCCTTCTCCCGCCCCTAGACTCAACAGGCAGCCTGCGCCGTGGGGACCACATTCTCAACATGGTACTGGCCATGCACAGCTGGGTGCTGCCTTCTACCCACCTCGCTGCCCGACTGCTGACCTTATATCCTCCCAAGGCCATGAGCAGGGCATGGAGGGTAGAGGGCAGAGACCCGAGAGTCGGGGGAGATGGGGACAGGGTAAACAGGCAGGTTTGGGATGCTGGATATCAGAGCCTTGACCAGAACTCAAGTACCAGGAGGCCACAGGGAACACACAGGAACAGAGGCGGCTCCAGATCTGTCACCTGCTCAGGTAGGGCTGGGCCCAGACCTCGACTCCCATGACTCAAGACCCCTGTCTTGTTCCCTACCCCCAAAAACACCTCCCAGAGATTCCCCAGACTGATTCCTCACAGACCTACTAGCCCTGCTCCCCCAAATACCACTTCTGAGATAGGCCTTGTTTGGTTCCCAGGACCCTCCCTGTTCTGCTCCTTAGAGCCCTTACCTCTTAGAGACCCATGACCAGATCCTAGAGACCCTCTCATAACTGATGTCCAGAGACCTCCAGCTCTGATCCCCCAACCTCCCATATGCCCTGGCCTAACTTTTAAGACCACTCTCACCTTGTTCCCCAAACATCTCACCCCTCAGAAGCCCCAGTTTAGTTCTGGAGACCCACCTCCCACTATCCTGCTTCCTAGCAATCCCACCTCCCAAAGGTCGCCCCAGTTTCTCTCCCATTGAGTCCCCAGCCTGCAGTTAGAGGCCCCCAGCCCTAGAGACAGCCCCATCTGGTGGCTCTCCAAACCCTAACCTTCCAGAAACCCCTAGTCCAGTACCTAGAGACTCCTCAGCCCAAGAGACCCCTTTCAGAGAACTTCCCCATGCCCAGCCTCATCTCACCACCTCTAAACCACCCTCAGATACTGGCTGACCCAACATCCTGAGACTGTACACCAGGAGCCTCAGTTAGAAGAGGTGATAGGTCGCTTCTGGGCCACTGTGGAGCAGGAGGGCAACTCTGCCCAGAGGAGCCTGGGAGACTCCTCCAACCTGTGAGTCAGTCACTCTCCACCCCCATTCTGTCATCTCCCTCCTCAACCCCCCATCCTCCACCCTGTACAATACCCTGTCCGATACCCTGCCCCTCTTTGCTCCCAGCCTGAGTCCCGGTGGCCCTGGCCCCCCGCACCCCATGAGCAGCCCAGGCCTAGGCAAAAAGCGCAAAGTGTCCTTGCTTTTCGACCACCTGGAGACGGGGGAGCTGGCTCAGCATCTCACTTACCTGGAGTTCCGGTCCTTCCAGGCAATCACGGTGAGGAGTCTCTTCCCCCACCTGGGGGTGACAGGGAGTGGGGTGGAGCCCAGGGAGACTCAGAGGACCCCTACATGGGCATTAGGCAGAGATCTCAAACTCAAACATGGGGGCTAGGAGGTTTGGAAAAATACGTTAAGCTGGCTGGGGACAGAACTCCTGGGTTCAAATCCTCAGCCCTTCCTCATCTGTGTAACTTTGATTTAGTTTCTCAACCTCTCTGGGACTCAGACTTCTCATTTATAAAATGGAGATCATAAGACTTCATTAGATGGTTGGGAGAATTAAATTAATATGTCCATTTAAAAATGCTTGTCAGGGAGTGCCTGTGTGGCTCAGTCATCTGACTGACTCTTGATCTCAAGTCTTGATATCAGGGTCATGAGTTCAAGTCCCACATTGAGTGTGAAGCCTGCTTAAAAAAAAAAAATGCCTGTCACAGTGCCTGGCACAGAGTAAGTGCTCAAAATATTTCATTAATTATTCATTTATTCAAGAAGCATTTAAGTTCACTGTGCCTTAGTTCCATTATCTGTAAAAAGGGGAATTTAACACTTCCTGCCTCATAGGATCAGTCTTTTGTCCAGAGTGAATGCTACCTGGTAGAACAATCTATAATTGCCATGTTTTGCCATATTTTACCCACCCAAATGACAATTTCGTATGCTTTAACCTATATATAAGTATTAGCTATTGCCATCACTACTTCAAGGGAAGGCGGTGATCGGGTTCCTTAACATGAAAATTTCCTGATCGATCACACACTGCACACATAGTGCGGGACGCATAGGTATGGAACGCTGACCCCTTGAGCAGGACAAATAGAAATTGCTTTCATGCCCTCTTTGCCATCCTTCCCTTTGCTCACTGAATACCAGTCAGGTATACAGTTATGAGCAACAGACTGGGTTCACACCTGTGTGACCCTGGGCAAATTATCCCTCTCTGTGACTCAACGGGCCTCATCTCTAAAACACGAATAATACAGTAGGGTATTCACTCGGTAGAGTTGATGTGAGGATTAAATTAGTTGATAAGACAGAGGGCTCAGAACGGTGTTGACTTTATTTAAACATTTCTCGTCAGCGGGAAGGGGCACAGTGATGTCAAGGACATGTGACAGCCAGACTAGGACCCCAGAGGTCCTAGCTGCTAGAGGGATGGGCGTGTGAGGGCAAGGCCGAGGCACCACTGCCCACCCTGACGCCCACCTCACCCCCAGCCCCAGGACCTGCGGGGCTACGTTTTGCAGGGCTCCGTGCAGGGCTGCCTGACCCTGGAGGGATCCGTAGGGCTCAGCAACAGCGTGTCCCGCTGGGTGCAGGTCATGGTGCTGAGCCGTCCTGGGCCCGCACAACGTGCGCAGGTGCTGGACAAGTTCATCCAGGTGGCACAGGTGAGGCCCGCCCGGAGGGGCTGAGGGGCTGAAAGAACCGCCGGGCGCAGATATCTGACCCACCCGCCTCGCAGTCCAACTGCCAGGCCTCGCCGCTGCTGACCAGCCCAGGAGTGAAGTTATCCACACCCTGGCCCCGGCCCCCTTTGCATCACGCCCACCCCGACTCCGCCCCTGAGGTCCCTGTCTGGAGGTTCTAACCCGGGACTGTGACTGCACTTCTTCCTTGACCTTGATATCACCACGTCACACCAGCCCTGGCCCCACTTGGTCCTTGACGTAGCTGTTGACGATGTCCTCTCTTGGCCCGTCCCCCAAGCCTTATGCCCGAATGTTCTGTCCACAGGGCAGCGAAAGCATCTCTGGCAGGCCTCCACGTTTGTGTCACCCCCCACCTCCGTCTCTAGGTCCCAGCTGTCCCTTCGGGACAGACTGCATGCCTCCCTCCGCATCACATCAGGTCTCTCTATGGCCCAGCCTCATTGTGTCACAACCTCTCTCTTCCCCTTCCCTAAATAGATACCTTCGCTCCTTTCTGGAGAAAAGGGAAGCCTCCTGCCACCACCGTGGCCACACCCCTCGCGTACTTCCTCTCAGGCCACGCCCTTCCTCTCGCGTGTGCCATCTCCTTGCCTTGCCTGTGCGGGTCCCCCGGACCTGGAGATTCCAGCGTCCACCAGGGGTCTCCTCGGTCAGGCGGTCTTCCATTCCTCTGGCTCCACCCCATCCCCACCCCGACCTCTGCCCTGCAAACTTGTTAAAGGGAAGGATGGGGCAGTTGGCCCTGATGCTCAGCTGACCCCACACTTGTCCCTCTTGCCCCGCTGACGCTTCCATTTCACTCTGGCCCCATTCACCTCTGCCAGGCTCCTAACTCCGGCCCAGAACCCAGGCCATCTTCCTTCAGCTGTCTGACTCTCAGAGCTGTCTGACCCCCAAGCGCCTGTCACCTGACATATGTCTGAATCCCCCACACCTGTCTAATCCTCAAACCTGTCTAACTCCTCACACTTGCCTGACTCCCGCCCCCAGTTTTTTCTGACCCCATGTCAGTCTGTCACCCGCCTGACCCCCCACGTAATGCCTGTACACCTGCGTGCAGCCCATTCCTTCCTGACACTCCCACCTCCAGCCACTCCACTTCCTGCCACCTCCCACCTGATGCTCACAGTGGCCCATACCCACACATGCCTGACACCCCAATTCAACTGGGATGCCGTCACGGGAACCCCCATTTTGCCTCTCCCCCATGTGATACCCACCATCTCTGCATCACCCTCCCTTCCTAGAGGCTCCACCAGCTGCAGAATTTCAACACACTGATGGCCGTCACGGGGGGCCTGTGTCACAGTGCCATCTCCAGACTCAAGGACTCCCATGCCCACCTGAGCCCTGACAGCACCAAGGTGAACCCCCACTATTCTTCCCAAAGTTCCAGCGGTCAATTATCCTGAAGCCCCACACTTTTCCCCCATCCCCTCCATCCCTACCCAGGGGCCCTGGAGCTACCTGGAGATCTTGCCCTCCAAATGGGACAGAACCCCAGACTGTCCTCCTCTGCCTTTCTTCCTCCCTCTTCAAGCATGCACACCTCATGCTGACCCCTCTCCACTGTTTCCAGTCCTGAGCAGGACTGGAGGGAGGCAGATGAGAGAGATGGTAGCAGAGAACTTGGGAGTCCCAGGTGGGGACTGAAATGATGCCCCTAAGGACACTGAATTTAGGCCACCCATGGGAGGAGCACAGGTTAGGCGTGTCCCGGGAAGTGTATGGGGAGAGTCTAGTGTAGGGGTCAGGATTTGGCAGGAAATTAGGCTGGAGATGCCCAGGGGAAGATCCTGTTGAGATCTTCAAGCTGAACTAAGGACTCTGGGCTTTATCCAGAGGGCAATGGGGAGCTAGGAAAGGTTCAGTAATGATGACTCATTTCAGTTTTGGGGAAAGTAATGATGACAGATTTCAGTTTGGGGGGAAAAAAATCACTCTAGCCTGGGGAATGGGGGATATGGAGCTTTTCTGAGATGGGAACCCAAAAGGAAGAGCAGTTGGGGGGGAGGGGATGCTGAGGCCAATGTGGGACATGGAGGTAGATGTCCAAATTACCCCTGGGCCCCTGGGAGTGCAGAACCCAAATGGAAGGCTGCCAGGACACTCCCCTCCCGGGGGCGAAGGGAGCAGAAATGGCGTCCCTCACAACACCCGCCCCCCACAATATGCCCTCCCGCACAGGCCCTGCTGGAGCTGTCTGAGCTTCTTGCTGCCCACAACAACTACGCCCGCTACCGCCGGGCCTGGGCTGGCTGCACTGGCTTCCGGCTGCCCATCCTGGGTGTGCACCTCAAAGACCTGGTGTCCCTGCATGAGGCACAGCCCGACAGGTTGCCTGACGGCCGCGTACACCTACCCAAACTCAACAACCTCTATCTGCGGCTGCAGGAGCTGGCTGCCCTCCAGAGGCAGCACCCCCCGTGCAGCGCCAGCGAGGACCTGCTGCACCTGCTCACAGTGAGCCGCCCGGCCCTGCCCAGGCTGGGGTCCCAGACACCGCACCTGTAGGCTCTGCAGACTTAGGGTCCTGGGTGCAGGAGGGTCCGCGTCCTTGTCATGCCCATTCTACAGATTGGGAAACTGAGGTCCACAAGGTGAAGTCACTGATCTGCTGTCCCACAGCAGTAAGACCCGGATTTGAACCCAAGCAGGTCAGCCTCAGAACCTGTTACCGTATGTTAACCACCACACTACATCGTCAGACTGGGAGTGTGTGGTTCTGGCTGCATTCTATTTATATAATTTTATATATGTATTCTCTGCCCATGAATCTAGAAATTGAGAGAGACTGGGATTCTGAAGGCCACGGAGTCTAAGACTGATTTTCCGGCCCCAAGACAGGACCAGCTATGTAATTCGCAGTACCCCGTGCAAAATGAAATATGGGGCTCCTTACTCAAAATTCTTCAGAATTTCAGGATGGTGACAGCAGGGGATTAAGTGAAGTGGGGCCCTTCCGAATGTGGAGCCTGCTTGTGAAGTTGGTCTTGCCCTAAGATGACTGGTGTCCAAAGCTCTGTGTTCTGCTGATTCTAGAAGGCCATCGAGCCCAAATATTTATCGAGCACCTGCTGTGAGCCAGACACTGCTTAGCACATCAGGGGAAAAAAAAAAACTGCTGTTCTTGTGGGGCTGACTTCCCAGTAGGAGAGACAGCCAATAAAACAAAGTAAATGAGTAAATCATATGGTCTTTCAGAGGATAAGTGCTAATAGTGAAAACTAAAGTAGAAACCAGCAAGAAAAGTCATAGGGGTTTACAAGTTTAAACAGGACCCAAAATAAGCCTCAGTGAGAAGATGGCATTTCTAGACCTAGGAAAAGGGGGTGTGGAGATGGACCGGGGCCTCGGTGGAAGAGGGGAGCCTAGGAGTCCCCAGAAAAGAGGGGCTTTGGGAAGAGGATACAAATGGGGATCCAGGCAAGGCACAGGCCAGGCCGTAGGTAGGAGGATGGAGACAAGGATCGGTAACGCCCTTCCCCCCCTCCCACCCCACAGCTTTCCCTGGATCTCTTCTACACAGAGGATGAGATCTATGAGCTTTCTTACGCCCGGGAACCCCGCTGTCCCAAGAGTCTGGTAAGAACTGACCCCTTCCCCCTGCCCACGAGCCCAAGCCCACACACTGACTAACTGCTCCCCTCTGTCCCTGCCCCAGCCACCCTCCCCCTTCAAAGCGCCCCTGGTGGTGGAGTGGGCCCCTGGCGTGACACCTAAGCCCGACAGGGCCACCCTGGGTCGGCACGTAGAGCAGCTGGTGGAGGTAAGGAGGGGACTGTGGCCTGGCCACTGGGGGCCAGGAAGGAAGGCATCTGTACAGTCCTGACCCAGAAGAGATCCAAGACCAGGAGGATCACGGTTTGGCCTTACTCTTTTCCATACTCCTCTGAAGTCTGTGTTCAAGAATTACGACCCTGAAGGCCGAGGAACCATCTCTCAGGAGGACTTTGAGCGACTTTCAGGCAACTTCCCCTTTGCCTGCCATGGGCTTCACCCACCCCCCCCGCCAGGGGTAAGTACTCCTGACTTCTAGGTCCCCCAAAGATGAGGACACTGGGGCTGCCGGGACTCCTGGGAGAAAGGGGCCAGTCACGCTGAGGTACAATCTCTGCCCCTAGGAATGGCTCCTACAGCCGAGAGGAGCTGACCGGCTACCTGCTCCGGGCTAGCGCCATCTGCGCCAAGCTGGGCCTGGCCTTCCTGCACACCTTCCAGGAGGTCACCTTCCGCAAGCCCACCTTCTGTGACAGCTGCAATGGCTTTGTGAGTACCCTGCCCCTCTATTGGCCTTGCGGCCCATCTTGCCCAGAGAGTCCCAGGTCCTGACGCCTCACAGCCCAGGTTCCGAAAGCCAGCCCTGCCCTAGAGGGCTCCCAGGCCCCGAGCCCCAGATGGTCACCAAATTCCGGAAAACTCCCCAGTCTCAAATAATCCCTACATCTCATATAAACCCTAAACACTGAATATGCCCAGAGTCTAGATAAAGCCAAAATCCCAGATGATCTCCATCTCGGATCACTGCCAAACTACAAATATCCCAAACCCTAGATAATTCCACAGACCTGGGTGGACCATCTCCAAGCAGAATCCCTTTCCAAGTCTTTAGACTCCAGAGAATTCAAACCTTGGATAATTTTCAAATTCAAGGCATGCTCAAACTCTGGATAACAAACTGATCTCTCAATCTCCAAACCAAGACTAATTCATAAACCTTGGATTATTTCCCAAACCCACGTTTTCATTCACTTCCTATTCATGGAATATCTCCTGCGTGCCAGATTGTTCTAGACTTGAGGGCTATGTAGGGGGCACACAACAGAAGACACAACAGACACCATCCCTGCCCATAAAACTCATGGTTCATTAATTCCAGATTTTATCTAATATCCCAGGTGACTCCCCAAACTTACAATAACCCCAAATTCCTTTAGTCCCCACTTAAGCCTCCAACCTTGAGAATTTCCCATACGGTCTCCACACTCCCAGAGACCAACCCCAGCCCCATCCACTGCCCTCTTTCCCCCACAGCCTATGTCACCAACTCTGCTTTCTCTTCCCAGCTCTGGGGCGTCACCAAGCAAGGCTACCGCTGTCGGGGTGAGTGAGGCCTCAGTGGTGGGAAGGAAGGCCAGCACCTACAGGCCAGATGAAGGGGGTGCCCAGGCTGGGCCTCTGCCCGCTAACTGCTGACCTTCCCCCAGACTGTGGGCTGTGTTGCCACAAACACTGCAGGGACCGCGTGAAGGTGGAGTGTAAGAAGAGGCCAGTGGCCAAGGGCGATGTGAGCCCCCCCTGCAGCCCCCATCCCACCCACACCAGTTCCCCATGCCAGCTGCGGTAAGACCCAGGGTGTGGCTGCCCTGGGAAGGGGGCATAATGAATGGGGCTGTAAGTCCAAGGTCATGAGAACTTTCCCATCATACCCACATCCCTCTCATCTATCACCCTACAAACAGACTCAGAAGACAGTCTCTCCTACACACTATCCCTGGAACCTGAGACAGGGTGCCACCTTTGCCATGCGTGGACGCAGACAGAGCCCCCGCACCTGGAAGCAGAGACGGTAAGGAGGAACTGCCCCGCACAGTCACCTGGATACAGGGGAGAGCCATTTGCTTGGGGGGAAATCCAAGCTGATTTGGGGAAGCATAGGAAAGTAAAAAGATGCAAGAGTCCTGAATTGTATGGGCAGGAGGGTACAGATCGTGGTTCATTTCTAATGTTAACTGAAAAATAAAATTTTCAGTATGTTGGAGTAGCAGGTAGCCAGTAGTAGAACAGAAAAAGGATTTTAAGGAGAAAAACAGAAAAAGAAGAAAAAGGCAAGGAAGAAGCCAAACACACCAGGAATTGTAACCGGTGTCAGTGGAGGAGATCTTACTCTGTGAAGGTAGAGACCTTCGGATTGAGTTCAAAAACCAGAACATCCGGAGAAGTTTTCATTCATCTCCTAAACAAAGTCGGGGAGAAGCTCTGCCTGTCCCTGGCAGTGCCCCGACTCTTAGATGCCACCCCCCCCACCGCCCCGTGACCCAGTGTCTTCCTCCTTCCAGGTGCCCCTCCCAACGACCACCTCGCCACCTTCCCAGTCCTCCAAGCTGAATTCCTAGCCCCCACTTGGGTCTGCTGTGTCTCACCTTTCTCCAGAGTCAGTCCCAGGTCCTGTTATTCGGCCTCTGGCAGGACCCCCAAAGGCACCACCGCTTTCCCAGCCACACCACCTTCAGTAAAGAGTTCATCATCTCTTCCTCAGGAAAGTGATTTTCTTCCTTTGCCTCAGAGTGGCCACAACCTATACTCCCGTTTCCCCGCACTTCGTATCTGTATGGTCTCATGTTGGATATGTGTAGACTTAGGTATTACCCCACCACCTCCTTACATCTCCATTTTACAGATGAGGAAGCTGAGGCCCAGGGAGGTTAAGCTGCTTTCCAAAGTGGCAGAGCCCCTAAGTATTGGAGGCAGGACTCAAGTCCTCAGAGAAGAAAGCTCCTCACCAGTATGCTACACTGTCAGCACGGGTCAGGCCGGGCACTTATATTCCTAACTCTGGGGTTCCAGGAGAGAAGGCTAGAGTAGAGGTGGAACAGGGAGCCTGTGAACACCTGAGTCCCTCCTCTGCTCAGAGCCCTTCCATGTCTCCCTCTCACTCAGAGAAAAAGCCAGAGCCCTCGCTGTGGCCCACCTCCCACAATCTGTTCCATCACCTCTCGGACCTCACCTACCACCACTCACCCCCTTACTCATCCTGCTTCAGCTATACTGGCCTCTGTGGTCCCTGAACATGCTGAAAATACTCCTACCTCAGGGCCTTCGCACTGGCAGTTCTCTCTGCCTAGAATGCTCTTCCAGAGGCCCACAAGGCTCCCTCTTTGGGACTTAGGTCTAATGTCGCCTTCTGAGAGAGGCCCTTCCGACCATACTCAAAGTTGCAATCCACCCTGCAGTCCTGCTCTTGCCTTTTCTCCAAAGTCCTTAACCATCTGACAAACTATCCTTCTTATCTATTTATCTTGTTGAATGTCTGCTCCTCTTCACCAGAAATTGTCAACTCCAGAAGAGCAGGGGTTTTATAATCTGTATTTTTTCACTTATGTATCCCTAGTGTTGAGAACAGGGCATGGCACATGGCAGGTACCTGAGAAGTCTTTGTTCAATGCCTACATGTCTCCTTCCCCGCGCCCACAGGAAGGGAAAGATGTGTTGCTAAAGAGCAGAGGACTGTGAGGGTCAGAGCAATAGGGGCCTGTTGAGACCCAGGGGACAAACACATCCCTACCCCTCCCCAAATCTGAGCACCCCAGACCTGCACCCCGCAAGAGATAAATCCTACAGCTGTCATCAATTAAATTTATTTTCCAGAGAACACAGTCCTTGTTGTGGAGTGGGGGATGTGGGGAGGACATGTGGGACCTTAGGAGCAGGAGATGTGGGGCCTGGGAGTCAGATGCCAAGAAAAACTCAAAGTGACTCCCAAGGATTACCAATGGCATGTCACAAAGGATCCCCCCACCCAAACACCAGTCCCCCTTTATTTCTTCTTCTTCTTGCGACCCCAGTTCTGGTGGCCTGCTTTTCGCCCACCTCCGTCCTCTCTTCTGCTCTGCCAGCTGGGCATGGGAGCCTCCAGCTCATTTGGACGGCCCCCCCGGTCTGGCACGTTGCCCATAAGCACCTGAGAGTTGATGAGACTTGAGTTTCAGGGAAGAAAAATGAACAAGGGGACCAGAGAGCCAAGTTTGAAGGCCAAGGATGTGGGGGCCCTTCCCCACTCCTAGGCACCCACCTTGTTGATGGCACAGCAGGTCCCTCGGCGGGCAGCCTTGCTGGTGGCTGGGACAAGACGAGACAGGTCTGCTCGGGCAGCCAGGACGTGTGCGATGGAGACATCTGATTCTGGGGTCAGAGCCTCTCGAATTGGGATCAGCACTGCCTTCATGGCTTCTCCTTGGGCCTGGGGAGGGGGGCATGGAGATGGTGGCCAAGAGCCCTCCCCAGGTGGGGTCTGTCCCCTTGCAAGCATCTCTCTCTCTCTGCTTAGGGCCTCACCTCCCACATTCCTAAATATGAAGTATAGCTCTGAAGACACTCCCAGCTCGGAGCTGGGAATTCTAGAATGCCCTGGGCCTCTAAATTCTAGAATTTCCTGGAGGCCCTGAAATTCTAGAGCCCCAAACCTTACCAGATTCTAAGAAATTGCTATAAGATCATATTCCTGGCCCTCGTTCTTCCTTCCTGTAGTGGTAGCCCCCACAACGGGGCTTCCTGTTCCTGTCCAAGTCCTTTTTCCACACCTCTGCCCGATCACTCCAGTGGAAAGACGATGTTGTGAGGTCCAGGCGTTTCAGGAGCAGGCAGCGGCGGCAGCAGTACTGGTCTCCCAACCTTTGGCACAGAGACTCCAGTGCCTCCTGGGGAAAATGTCTCAGTCATGAGATGGGTCTCACTCCCATCTCCAGAGAAGGATGCTGTTGGCATACAGTCATACACAGTCTTACCCATCTGGGTGCGTCCAGGGGGAAGCTGAGGAGGGGCTGCAGGAACCCTGGGGGCAGGGAAGGCAGCAGCTCAGAGATCTGACGGGAGAAGGGAGTCTGAGGTTGACCAGGCAGAAACCAGATGTACTCTCCGTGGATTCCAGTTCCCCATGGCCCCCAGGACCCAGGCCTTGGAATCAATAATGGTGGTCACAGCTCTAGAAAAACATCCCCGTGGCTGGGGCACTCCGGCCAGAACGAATTTTGGAGGACTCTACCCCTACAACGAAAGTGGGGTGGCCCCAGTACGGAAGGGACCTCCAGCTCTCTACCTTGTCGTGTAACTCCCACAGCAGCCGGCTGGCGGCGGTCCCAGGCTTCGGCCTGGGCAGCCCCAGAGCTCGGAGGGTAAGGACCAGTTCCTGAACCATGCCAGCTCCCTCCTCTGCCCCCTCCCCACAGGGCGGTGCGGGGCTGGGATCCAGCCGACGATACAGACAGAGGAGGCGGGCAGCCTGGAGCTCCGAGCAGAGAAAGCCTAAAAGGGAAAGAAGTGTTGCAATCAAGGAGGGCTGCCGTCCCACCGACCCGGGTCAAAAAGCTCCACCTGGTTCAAAACCTCCAGGCTTCCAATCCTCAGGCCTTCTAGTTCCGCCCACCTAGAACCCTGGCTGCACCTCCAGGATGAGCTCCACCCACTCGGAGCCCCAGTCCCCCATTCGGAGCTCCAGTCCCCCGCTCGGACTTCGAACCCCGCCCACATCAGGACCACCTGGCCGGCTACATCAAATCCAACCCACTCGAACTTCCAGACACTTGGGCCAAAATTTGAACCCCACCCACCTCGAACCCTCTCGCCCGCCTCAATTCTAACCACGCCCCCCTGGAGGGGGCGAACCCTGGCTCCGCTAGGCTGTGCTGAGCCCGCCCCTCCCGAGGCAAGAGAGCCAAGTAGCCTCGCCCACTTCCGCATCCCGGGCTCACGCAGCAGACGCAGGCACGCGCCGGGATCTCGCAGCGCCGCCGCGCCCTCTCCGCCGCAGAGCGCGCGGTCCGGGCAATGCAACTCCTGCAGCAGGCCGGGCAACTGTCGCAGGAATTCCTCCTCTGTGTCGGGGCCTGCAGGAGGCCGGAGAAGTCAGGCCGCGGCGGCGACCCCCGCAACCCCACCCCTCCGGGCAGCCCGCTCCACACGTACCGTCGCCGGCCCTCAGCGCCTCCGCGCTTTCTCCTCGCTCCCGCTCCAGGGCGCCCAGAGACGCTAGCTCCGCCGCCAGCCGCGCGCACAGCGCCCTGAAGTCTGGACACGAGGGGCCCAGCGACGGCGCCCCCGAGAAGCCCTCATACCTGTGGCAGGACGAGGCAGCAGGAGGGGGTTGGGAAGGCCCTCAGAGCAATTTCTGAGGGCAAACCTGTCCCTTCCCGTATCCCCCCCCCCCCCCCCCCCCCCCCCCACACACCATTCCCCTTACCCCAAGGCCAGCAGGTCCCGGGCCACTGAGGCCCCCTCCCGCGCTTCCGCCTCCGCCCCCTCCATGAAAGCATAGCCTTCTCGCCAGGCGCGCGCCCCCTGCCGGCCGGCGGGAGGCCCCGCCCCAGGAGCGGCGCGCGCGGTCGGCGCCCTGCAGGCTCCGACCAATCAGCCCCTAAGGGCCTTCGGCGTTCCGATTGGTGCAGGCGGCCGCAGAGCCCGCCCCCAGCAGCAGGCGCGATGAGCTAGAGCGCCGTGGTTCCGGTAACCCAGTCTAGACCGTGGAAAAGCCCCGGGTCTGTAAATCCGCGCTTGCATTCGGGATCCCAGCTGTCGCGACAGACCAGCGGGTGTCGCTTTTGCAGCGACTTAGAAACAGCTTTTTTTTTTTTTTTTTCTCAGCCTCGTTCAGATGCCCTCTGCTCTTGAGGCAGATTCTAGTGTTCTCCGAACTCCGCTCCAAATGCATTAACTTATTTTCTCCTTTCCAGCGTAGGGTTGGAATTACGTCAGGGACTCAGGAAGCCCGGCTCGCCCCCTCACATACACCCGCCCTCCTCATCGATCACAACGCATCAGTGGAGCCTTCACCCCTCTTTCTCCCTAGGTCTTGTAGAGGTAACAGGTGCAATATACTGTCGTGATAAAGAGAATGCTCCCTGGGAGTCAGGCACACAAGGGTTAGGGCTTGATTCCACCACTCCCCACCTCTGTGTCCCCGCTGTAGAATGGGAATAAAACTTACCTTTTAAGAGTTGTGAGGATGAGAGTCCTGTATGTAAATGTTTAGAAGATATATAGGGGTACTCAGTTAAACCATATGTTGAACATTTTGTGCTACTAGGCTAAGTATCTTAGATCCGTCTTAGGGAGGAGAAACGGAGGTTCAGACAGGCTAAATCAGAGTGAATGTGTGGTGGTGCTAGGACTCAAATTCACATCTGACTCCAAAGTCCATGCCTTTAATCACTTAACCTAGTACTGTTATACTGTTACTGTTTTGGTTGCTGTTGTTAAAATTATAATTCTCTATAGTACTACCTACCCCAAGGCTGGGTACTGGTACCTTTGTTGACCTTAATAAAACATTAAAAATTGCTCAAGTCAAAACCGTGGAATCGCAGCCTTGATTCTTTTCTTCTTTGCAAACTCTTTATCTACATTTGCGGATTCTACCTTCAAAATGGATTCATTACCTTGCCCACTTCTCCCTGCCCCCACTGTTCTCACCCTGATCTCCTGTACCCTTGTCCTCCCCCTGGAGGACCACAGCAGTCTTCTCCCTGCTCCCTCCCCAGCCACCCACCCCCAACTGTCTGTTCCCCATGGGCCAGGTAGTATGTAAACCCCTGAGTCAGGTCCCCGCCCTCCCATGCTTGGAGCCTTGCCATAACTCCAGCTCACTCAGGGTGACCAGCAACATCCATGCAATGGCTCTCAAGGACCCACAGATGTGCCCTGTCTCCTCTCTCCCCTCATCCCCTAAATACCTTCCTCCCCGCTTTGTCCCCTCCAGACACTCCCTCCCTTGAAGTCCCTCAGACTTACCTAGACATGCTAGACACACCCCTTTACCTAGAATGTTCTTCCTACAGACATCCACAGGACTCCCTCACCTCCTTCAAGGCTTTATTCAAATGCCAGCTCCCTGGTGACCCTGACTAGAAATGACTGTAGCCCCATCTCCACTTTACTTTTCTCTACAGCGCATATCATTTCTAACATGTCATTTATTGTCTCCACTGTAAAGTTCATAAGCTGCTCGTGGGGAAGGATTTTTGTCTGTTCTGTTCGATGCCTTGTCCTTGGTGCTGAGAACAGGGCCTGGCATATGACGGATGTTCGGTCAGTGTACTTGAGTGACTAAATGTATAAAACTCAGCCGGAGGGTCTGCTTGGGACTAAAGGATGTGAAGGAGAAAGGACAAATCTGGTAAGCGACTGGTTTGGTGGTTCAGGAAGGTGAGTGGATGGGGTGCATCAATGCAAATAAAGGACACAGGCTGAGACTTTGTCACAGACATTTCTTGGAGCGAATAACTCATGCCCCCTCCCCAATGACAAGGCTGGGTCTTTGGCTCCCATCCTCCCCCGCCATGGCAGCCTGCACTGACGATAACAATATTGAGGTCACAGACTGGCTTGGAATCAAGATCAGGAAGATAAATGTCGGGGTGCCTCCCCCAAATCTGGGGGCCAAGCATCCAATCTGAGGGGCAAGCAGCTGGGAAGTTGGGCCTGGGGGCTCCAGGGTCTGAGGTCTTCCTGGCTCCCAGGGTCAGCCCTCCATGCACCCCTGATTTGGGGGTGATGAAGAGTAATCATGGATCAGAGGTGGGTATCAGCAGGGAGCAGGACTGGGAGACCTGGGAGAGGCGGTGCTGGGAGGTGGGGGCTGGGGGAACCTTCCCCAGCTCCCACTGCTTCATCCGCAGATCCCACAGCACCTTACAGCACTCTGGTCCCCGTCCCACCCCTCCCCAAAACGAGGTAGGGTAAGAATGGAGCTTCCCCCCGCCCACCACGGAAGGGAGGAGACCGAGGCACAGAGAAGGGGATGGGGACCCAGGCCGCCCCAGCCCCCGGTCCCTCCACCCTCAGCTCTGGTGGGTCTGCCAGTGACAAGAGCTGGGCAGAGTGGGGATAGGAGGGACATCCTCCTTTTCTCTCACCCATCCCAGGGTCTGGTTGGGAGAGCGGAATCTCACAGGTTCCGGATGTAATAAATAGTTAATAATTTAAAGGAAGTGACAGAAGGATCTAGCCCTCTGACCCCCTTGACCTATCCCTTGAAACCCCTACAAGGCCATCCAAGTCTGGGTAATGAAGAAAGGTAAATGCACATTTCCAGATGCTTGGGACCACGAGCTGGTCCCAAGCCCATACAGCATTGAAATTGTCTTGCTCCCAAGACCTTGATCCTCTGCTTCAGGCCATCTGAAGGCCATCTTCAGGCCATCATCATATCTGAGGTACCCTGAAAGTCCCATTCCACTCAGGGAAAAGAGACTGTGGCATCACAGAGGGCCATGAAACTGGCTTTCAAGCTTCACAAAGCTACCCCCAACTCTGAGATGGAAGGGAAGGGGTTAACAGGGCAGAACATAAAAAGCTTGGACTAGGGCTGGGGCTTAAGGTTGGCCTTGGGGCAGAGTGCAAAGGGAGAAAGTGTGTGTGTGTGTGTGTGCTCTGTGTGTGTCCACTCTGTGCACTGTGCAACCAGCAGAGTGTGGTGTGCATTCCAGCCACCCCCATCTTGACTGTGTGTCTTTGCTTAGCAAACAGTTTGCACCGTCATCTATGACAATGCTGGGTCCTAGAGATGGATGTGGAGTTCTGGGATGCTCCTGGAACCCAGAAACATGAGCTCAAGATGATGGGGTTTGTTTTTGTTTTTTGTTTTTACCGTAGTAAAGGAGTAGTTCTGTGAGATGCTGGGGGCTTGGGATGGGGTCCTTAAAGTTCAAATTCGGAGGTCTGGGACCTTGGGGTTTCAGGAGCTTATGGACAGCAGGATTCAAGGGCAGCAGGTATCAGGGAATATCAGGCTGAAGAGGTCTGAGTCCACAGAAATCTGGGATCTGAAGGTGCTACTGTCCTGAAGCACCTCAGTTGTCTCTGGTGTGGACAGACCAAGGTCTTGAGTTAGGGACAATCTCAATGTTGTGTAGGCTTAAGCCCTGAATTTGGGGGACCAATGGCACCTTGGGGTCTTGGGACCAGTGCTCCCAAAGCACCTCGGGGTCATTCAGGAGCTGGGGGCCAAGGGGTGAGAGGCCTGTGTTGCCATGAACATCCCATCATCTGGGAGATGAGCTTCCAGCCTTGAGGGGATTGGGGATCTGTGGGTACAAAGCAGCCAAAGATTCCAGGCCATTCTGGGGCTTGAAATCCGAGTCTAAGAGGTTTTGAAAGAGGGTTATCTGAGGACTTGAGACCAGTGCCTTGGGCCCTAAGGGGTTGGGGGCCTTCAATACTACATCTGGGAGTATTAGGCACCTCAGAGTCTATGTATGAGATCCAAAGCTCTGGGAACACTGGCTTGGGATGAGTGGGTCTACAGAGGTCTTTGATCCTTGGTTCCCAGAGCATCCTGGAGTCTGACATCTAGATCTTGGTGCAGAAAACACGGGGAGGCTCAGAGATGAGTCTTGCAAGTCATTTTGGGCAGAGAACATGTGTCTGGGCACACCTATGGACTCAGGGCATCTTGAGAGGGTTTTTGGTGCCTCTAGGGTCCTAGGGGGCTACAAGACTATCTCAGATATGGGTACCCCAAGTTTTAGGTGAGCATTCAGGGACCATTTGGGGTGCATCTGGGTTCTATGGTCTCAAGATCCGGGAGTTAATTGTATGCAGGCAGGGTCAGGTTATCGACAGGTCCTGACTCACTGTAATCTGAGGGCTCATGTGTCAGGCATCATAGGGTCTGGGTTGGTTATTTCAACAGGGAGTCGGGGTTCAGGGCCCTGCGTCTCTTGGGGATACATGTGCTCCCCAGCCTGCCTGAGGTGAAGGGTTTGGGGATGCCTGGAGTCTCCCCAGTCTAGGTCAGGGAGGGGGTTGGTGGCAGGATGGGGGTGCCAGAACTCAGGGTGCCTGGGACCTCTTGGACAGACATCCCAGTGAAGCTGGGTCTGGGGTCTCTCAGTCCTAGGTTTGGGGTCCAGGTTCCAGGTCTGGGGTCTCTCAATCCAAACTCAAGCTCCAAGCTCCGGGTGTGCCTAGGTTTGGGTTTGGGGGTCCGAACGGAGTCCAGGGTCCTGGACCCTCAGTTTGGGGTCCTTGGTGCAGCTACCGGACCCACCAGGCCGTTCTCACCGCGCCGCCTCCTCGTGGCGACCCCCGCAGCCTGCGCAGCCGCATCGCGCCGCGACCCAGTGGCAGGCGCGCAGGGGCGCGTAGCAGCAGAGGCAGGGCACAGCCAGGGAGAGCGCGGCCAGCGCGGCCCAGCGCGCCGCGGGACGCGGGTGGCCTGGCTCGCAGGCGCACGGGTCCGAGAAGTCACCCTCCGCGTCCGACAGGCAGTGGTAGAGCAAGCTCTCGGCGCACCACAGGCAACTGAG